ATTATTATTATATTCAATTTTGTGGCTGTGAGGCTTCCTTCCAGTTCTGTTATCCTTTTCATGTGGAAGAAGTTTGGCGAACAAGTTGATGCAATTCGATCTCATGTCTGTTATAAGCACACATCATACAGTTTTTCGTGTATGGTTATTTCAAACTTTTGACACACCTTTTATATCACTTTATCAATTTTTATTAATTCGACTCGACATAAACACCTGTGAGGTTTCTATTCTTTAAATTTGCGTCACAAAGTGTGGTAATCCATTCCCTTCTCACAATTATCACTTCATCATGTGCTCTTTATGAAATTTGAACATACAACATAGAATTAAAAATATCCTATATTTATTCTATGTTGTCATTTTTAATAAACAATTTGATACCATGTAGATAGGGGTGGAGCCATGGCTGTCCCAAAGTTTTTTGATGGCTATCCCAAATATTTTTAAGAAATTTTGGGGTTGTTAAGATAAATATAGTTGGTTACCCAAAATTATTTGTGAATGTGAATTTTTACAAATTAAGAACTTTCTTAATATTGTTATGATTTTATCTCTTTCAACATAATCTCTATACACATTGTTAGTGAGAAATTTTCATTGATGCTATACTTTGAATATCCCAACAAATATTTTCAGACTCTGCTCTGTATGCAGTGTATGAAAATTATCATGCTGTTCATGTTTGAACATTTTAAATCACATTTTGACACATAAACATATTGGTTCTTGTTTGGTTTGACAGAAAGTCACTTAAAAAAAAATGGTTATCAGGCAAATTAATTTACGCAATGAAAAGAAATCACTTTCTTTAAATCACTTTTTCACGAGGGTTGATTTAGATTTATCCTATGTCTGTCCAATAAAATTGAAGACAATAACTAGATGAGAAAGCATGTTGAACTTACTACTTAAAGTCAATACAATTTCTCGCTTATGTTGTTCCATTTGTCCCCTACTTGACCTTGATAGAATAGACGAACTTTCCCCTTGTGGTCATCATTGTTTTGTCCTTATAAGCTACCAATAACATGCTTGTTGTATATAAGTTTTTTATTCATCAAAACTTGCCAAATCATTGTAAATGGAAACCTCACTTCCTCTGGCCACTGATAGCTTCTCATATAGTTGGTTACCAAACTTCAAACCCCTTGCAAATGAGCCTCTCAGAGAATCTACTTACAATTCCCCATTATTTGAAGAATGCCAAAACTTCAACTTTGATATTTCCATCACTCACTCCCCTTCTGTCCTTGCTCATGCTGATGAACTTTTCTCTAATGGCCTCATCAAACCAATATTTGTTGACCATTCCAAGTTAGAGTCATGCAATAGCAATACCATCTCAGCTTCCACACAATCCAAGACTATTTCTTCCTTTTCTTCTAGAATTGTTTCTCCAATAACTCTAAAAATTCATCATGGTTTCCTCACAAGGTGGAAAGCCTCTACATGTAGAACCTTGAGAAACTTATCTAGGTATGTAAACCAACTATGCCAGAAAGTTGGAGGGTCAAGAAAAAGTACTAAAGTTGATGATATTGATAAGGAAGAGTGGCTAGTTAATAGCTGGAGCAGTTCACAGCATGTATCTCCTAAATCAATTTGTGTCAACCCTATTGGTGCTTTGCATGATCAAGAGAACTCAATCTATGAAGCAGTCCTCCACTGTAAAAGATCAATAGGTATGCTTATGCTTTTCGCTTCTTTTTTCCTTTTAAAGTGAGTCTATGATCGATATGTTAGCCTTACAAATTAATTTATGATTGATATGTTAGCCTTACAAATTAATTTCTTTCTTGTTTTCATTTCAGAAAGATGATCCTTCCTCAAATTGGTGGCAACTGATAAAGCATTTCAACTGGTTCTTTGCATCATTTCTCTCTTGTTGACTTGAATATTTTTATTTCTTGTCTTGAACAAGAGGTGTTTTGGCAGATACCAGCTGAGGGGTGTATAATATCAAATTTCAGAAATGTTGGATAGGATCCAACTTCTTCATGATTTTGTTGAGATAAGAGTTATTGCACAAACTATGTATTGTGTTCATATTGTAAGAAAGATAAACAATCATTTTCTTCTTTCCTCTTTTTTATTGCTCACTTTACATGTCAATAAAATTTTGGCCGAGAGATTTTACTGAAAAGTGTTTCTAAGAACAAGGTCACTTTGGGCCTTAAACATGATTATTATAGCAAGAGAAAACAGGATGTGTAAATTGTGAACCATGCGACAAGAGCATGTAAGAGAAAAGTCTGTATCTTTACTTCATTAATTAAGAGCTACCACTTAGAAATAGCAGGCTACAGTAACAAAGTATAGCACTAAAAAATCTTCATTTTGTGACATAGTGAGACAACATATGAAAACATGAAGTGTTACATATAGAGATGTTATAAGGGGCAGCAAAGTTAATTAATCAATAGCTTATATTTGATTACCCCTTTGTGAGAATTGTCACTAGTGGATATTTTTTCTTTTCTACAACTTGCTACCATCAACCTCTAGCGTACTTGGTCAATTAAAAAATCAGATCTTACTCTCCAGGTGTGAAATAGCTAGGGAATGTTTGTGATAGAAAGCAAAGTCATCAGGGTAGAGTCTGGACCATTTCAGAAGTGACTTTCGTTGTCACCCTGTACAAAAATCATGAACCAATATTTAAAATCAAGAATCAAGCCTCAGACATATGATACCTGCATATTGTCAAGGACTTCAAGATCTGATAGCTGATAAAGATTAATAATGATAAAACCGGGAGTTCAAAATTTAAAAAATAATATAAGAAGAGAGAAACGAGTATACTGATAAGATATAAATAAAGTTCCACTTTATTTGAACAAGAAGGTCTATTGTAATTTGCAAAGAGATATTTTGGATAATGACAAAAAATAAAATGATTTAAGTTAAAGTGAATAATATTTTATCATTATAGAATTATATATGCAAATAATCAATAAAAAATAATATATATATTCTTGGTAAATATAATCCACAAACAAACAGGTAAAATAACTTCAACATATACTAAGTTATGTTTCATGTAAAAATGGTTTTCTAGATAAACATTTAAATGAAAAATGGAAAAACAAAAATACACATTTTTTAGGATAAAAGTCTGGAGAGGATAAATTCAAATTTAAAATTGAATTAATTTTTTTTAAATAATTAATATAAAAGAAATAAAAAGTAAAATCCAAGAGGCCTATATTGGGTGCACAGTGGGGGCAAATCACATTCACATGGGTGCATTTGATTTTACTAGTTTATTTGAAAAATAAAGAGAAAGATTCATATATAAATATTTCAAAGCATACCAAACAAAATAATGTGCGACTTCAACATTAAATTTATTTAATTTTAATTTTGAGTGTTTATATAAAATTAAACTATGAATATTAACTTTTCTCATGTTCTCACTTGAGATGGTTGAGATACCCTTACTAAATAAGCAAGACAAGGAGGGCATGAAAGAGAAATAATGTTGGAGAAAAATCCATAGCTGATAGAATGATCTAAATTCTGCAGTTCTTGATTCTTTGTTTTCTTTCTTAGAGGTGTTACTTCTTTATCTCACTAGAAAGTGACGTGATTATCACTTTGCATATCTCTCCAACTCCTTCAAAAGTTGAGGACAATATGTCACTGCATTCGGCATACTTGTGTTCATACTAACACTGCCCATCCCACTCACACGTATCCTTTCCTTTCTTCAAATAATCTTTTCTCCTTTACTCTTTCTCTTATTCAAAATTGACAACTCATTCAAAGAATTCTTTCTTTTAAAAAAGAAAATTAATAATGTTTTCTTGCCTTTATTTTTATGAATTTATGACTATTAAGTATTTTTTACATTACTTGTGTATTTTTAAAAATGTAAGAAATAAATTAGAATAATACTTGAAGCTTTTATTTTCACTAATGAATATTATTCTAATTATAAAAATAAATTTAAATCTATGAAGTACAACTATTTTAATTTTAAAAATCTCCAAAGTTGATATAATTATAATTTAATTTATTGATGGTATGTAAATATATTTTTTTTTATATATATTAATTGTTGATGGAAGAAATGCAAGTGTAGATTAAAGAAATTTTAAGAAAAAAAAAGTGAAAATCTTATTTAGTTGACATTAAATTAGAGATGTGATAAAAAAAATAGAGTATATTAGTGAGGGAGCAACCCTTACCTTTTAAGTTAACTTTTGAAATGGATTTATGTCCAAATTTTATAAAATTTGTGATGGAAATGTTAAAAACACATATTAATTAAAGATATGGTCAAAATTGTTGAGTTTTGTACTTCCTTCCTACATAACCAATAAGCTAAATGTGTAATAGTATTTTACTTAATAAGTGGAGAGTAGTTAGATCAGGTTTGAGAGAAAAAAGACTCATTATTAAAAAAAAAAAAAAAACAACAACAACAACAAACATAGAGAAAAGAGAAGAAAGAAAATCATTGTGCATTTTCACATTCTTATTAGGTAGCAATTTTTGAATTCTAACTAAAAATTCGTGATCATACCAATTTTTTCTTAATAGCTTTTTAACTTTGTGGAAGTGATCGAAGGTTAATATTATGCGAAACAAAGACATATAAGGTGCAATAAGCACTAAGCTTATAAACAATAATTAAGAAAAATTCTCATTATTCAAATACTTTTTAATTTAACAATTAAAAATATATTTTTTAAAAATATACATATATGATATTTTTTAATTATATATGTATACTGACACGTTACATCTTTCCCCTTAAATGTAAATATAGTTTGATATCTACAATCTTCATTTCACACACCGCAGAAGACAAACACTTTTGGCATTTGCAATATGAAATTCCATTGACCCACGTGAAGTACACGTGCATTGTTAGCAAATTTGTGATTGCACATTAACAAATTTAGGGATGACAATGGGCCCCAATGGGGTGGGTATAGTAAACCCATCTCCGCCCCTCTGAATGAAAATTAGCCTCATACCCATCTTCATATTCGCGCGGGTATCCATTAAGCGGGTATCAATGAATTTCTTGAATATCCACGAATATCCATGGATATTTATAAAATTTTTAAGAAATTAAAAAAATTATATTACAAATAATTTTAAGTTTATATTTTAATGTCATTGAAATATTAAAAATAAAAATTTAATATTAATTTTGAACTTTTATTTAACGTTAATTTTGTTGAAATAATAATAAAAATTCAAGATAATCAATAACTTAAAATACATCAATCTCACAAGTTAAAGTCTCATCACAAAGTTACAATAATTCAATCTCATAATTTCAAATGAGAGTAAACAACTTAAAATACATAAATCTTATTGGTCCAATCAAAGCTAAAAAATTAATCAAATTACATCCAACATAATTCTATAACATGCTTAATACATGTCGGTAACTTCATCAACCTCACTTTTGTAAGAAAATAAGATGAGAGAGTGTAGTTTTAGAATTATGTGGTACAAGGATAATTAGGATATTTAAGAAATAATATTAACCGGGTCCCCGCGGGTATGGATATCATCATACCCGCCCCCGCCCCATTTATAAACGGGTAAAAAGTTATCCGTCCCCATTATCCGCGCATACCCAATTAGCCTATCCATTTATTATCTGTAGCAGATTTTATCCACAAATACCCGCGGGTACGAATATTTTTGTCATCCCTAAACAAATTAATGCACTATTGTTCTCAAAACAATTTCTCTTCTACAAGGATGGACACCTCGATCTTGTGAAGGGTCCCATATTTAAATTCAAAACAACAACTTGGGACCAGTTCTTGCAACTCATCTTATCATTATTTGCCACGATCACACGCTTATACGGCTCACAGAATTAAACTAGTCTAATACGACAAACAAGTGTAAAGGAATGTTCTGGATTATGAGCTCATTTATTGTCTTAGAATTTTCAGAACAATTTTATGTTTATATACTTTCATCCTCCTGTCGGCTCTACCATTTCCTTTTGGGTCAAGTGTTTCAGCTTTTGTTCATCTTTGTTATGTCTATTTCATCTTTTCTCTCTTTTCCATGACATTTTTTGTGTTCTTTTTTCTTATAATTTTTTATTAACAATAAGAAAAATGAGTTAATTACTTCGACCTCTACTAAGAACATACGTAGAAGAACCATGGTTTATCAAGGGGTGGTTCTTGATTACGTGACACAAATTATGTTCTTGCAAGAGGGGAGACTTTTTGGTGGCATATAGGTTCATTAAACCGCGACAAAGGTTAGGTCTTTCGAGACAAACTTTAGTTAGCTAAGATGAATGGACTAGGGTGGCAAAAATCCAGGTAGAAGAGGCATTGGTTTCTGTTGGGTTAGATTAGGTAATTTTAATGTTCTTTTATTGGACCAATTATAGTTCCGGAACCTGATTTTAATTTATTTCATTGGTATGTTGATTTTGGTATCATGCTTTTGTTGGTGACTTCTTTAAATATAGGAGATGATGTGACTCTTAGTTGTAGAGAATATTTTTAGTTTTAAAACTTTTTTATTTTCATGAGAATGTTATCTCTAAGGTGGTCTATTGTCGGTCTAAACCTATTTTTTTATTTTATAACAATTATGTGGATATATTGTATCCGCTATCTTATATGTAGAGATTTTTTTTTTTTTTGAGTTATGTGATAGTCAAAACTCTATACAAGGAGTGTATTGTTCTTCCTTTCATTCAGCAAATTCGTTTTTATCTATAACATATTAGAAATTAGTATTTTTTAATTTAATATTTAAATATATATATATATATATATATATATATAATAGGGCTTATAAATCACATTCTCTCTCACGTATGTTCACTTTCTGAAAAAATATCCTTATCTTTGTATTCTCTATTCCTTCCAACGGCATGCATAATAACATTGCAATTTTTCCAAAAAAAAAGTGTTGCACGTTGAGCACCACTCACTTGGCCTCCAAGATTAAATAAATAAATAAATAAATCTTTTCTAAACAACTACGAATGATTACATCTATATATAGGAGTCCAAGTAAAAGAAAATATACATATAACAAGTTCACTTATCTCTCCCTCAAAATTATTTCTAATACTAAATATATTTTTTGAAGCGGTGTTCTTTGGTTCAGGGATCTTTCTCTGCACTCAAACGGTCTAACCGATTGACATATCTTAGGAGAGGAATGCACTATAAGACTCAAAATTACCGGTGCAGTGGGGGCGTTTTCTTTCTAAAGATAGCGCTTTGCGTGCATCAGCCCAAGCTACTATAATGTTATTATTTAATTTACTCTT